GGGGGGGGGGGGAGATCCCGAGTGGCCGTTTCGCGCGCCGCTGCTCCCCCTCCCTCCCCCGCCTGTGAGGCTGGGGGGGGGGGGGGGGAGATCCCGAGTGGCCGTTTCGCGCGCCGCTGCTCCCCCTCCCTCCCCCGCCTGTGAGGCTGGGGGGGGGGGGGGGGAGATCCCGAGTGGCCGTTTCGCGCGCCGCTGCCCCTCCCTCCCTCCTAGGCTTGAGAGCCTGGGGGGAGGAGGCAGGGCTGGGGATTTGGGAAGGGGCGGAGTTGAGGCGGGGCCGGGGGTGGGGTAATTAAAGAAGGGGGGCGGGCAGCCAAACTTGTTTTTGCTTTGGGCGGCAAAAATCCTAGAGCCGGCCCTGGCCAGTATGATTTCAACTCCTGGAGCACAGTGGCAAAATTCAAGGAACTTTTGGCGCAGGACTTCAGGGGTGAGTTCTCGGTCCTAGTTGAAGAGAGGAAATCAGTGGCAAGAGCATTCCTTCAGGCAGTTCTGGACATGGCAGATTCTGCAACCTGATCCATGGCTTCAGCTGTGGTCATGAGAAGAAGCTCATGGCTTCGGTCCTCGGGGTTACCCTATGACGTGCAGCAGACTGTGCAGGACGTTCCATTTGAAGGCAAGTCACTCTTTTTTGAGCAAACAGACTCTGAAAGACAAGAAGAGCCATCCTGAAATCCTGGAGGAGCCGGTATATGGAGCCCCAGGGAAGCACTATAAGCTCCAACTGACGACCTGCTTCCACTCGCCACAGCAGAGACAAGACTATAGCAGGAAAAGGAGTAGAGGCTATAAGAGGAGGCCAGTCATCATCTGTCCCAGTGTCAGGCCTCCCCCGACCCCCTGAGACATGGTGTGGTCTAAACAGGCCTTTTGATGGGATGCTCAATTGTGGCATACCAGGACAATGTGTGGATCCGATTTCCCCTAGATTTGTGGACCAGTTATCCCACTTCTGTCGGGCACGGGCCCGTATTGCCTCAGATCACTGGGTGCTTCATGATAGAACTGGGATATACCCTTCAATTCAGTTGTTCTCCTCTTTCCCACTTTCCCTCCTTCCCCCTCTTCAGGGACCCTTCTCATGAGCAACTTCTGGTCCAGGAGGTGTGGTCACTCATCAGGGTTGGTGCCATGTAAGAGGTTACATCGGAGCTAAGTGGCCAGAAGTTCTGCTCCTGTTACTTCCTAATTCCAAAATCCAACAGCGATCTCAGACAGATCCTGGACCTGCGAAACCTCAACAGATTCATGAAGAAACTGAAGTTCCACATGGTCTCCTTGGCCGCCATTATCCCTTCTCTGGATCCAGGGGATTGGTACACTGCCCTCAACTTGAAGGATACATATTTTCATATTGCGATCTTTCGGGGACACAAAAGGTTCCTATGATTCGTTGTGAACCACATGCACTACCAATTTATGGTGCTCCCATTGGGCCTGTCAGCGGCCGCTCGGGTGTTCATGAAGCGCATGGCAGTTGTTGCAGCCTTCTTGAGAAGACAAGGGGTTCAGGTCTGCACTTACCTCAACAACTGGCTGATCAAAGGTCGGTCCAAGGCCCAGATGGAGGCAAATGTGCAGTTAATACCATCAACTTTCCAGGATCTGGGACTATTAATAAACATGCAGAAATCCATCCTTTCCCAGGTTCAAAGAATATAATTTGTTGGGGCGATCCTTGACTCAACCTAGGCCAGAGCTTTTCTTCCAGAAAACTAGTTCAGAACTCTGGGGGTCCTCAGAGACCACCTGAGGAATCACCCCATCACCACAGCAAGGAACTGCTTAAAGTTCCTGGGGCATATGGCATCACGTGAGACTATGGTTCAGATCTCTACAGGCTTGGTTAGTGTCTGTTTACGCACCAAGCCGACACGATCTGGACAGGGTGGTCTCGCTTCCGCCATCGGTGATTTCCACCTTCCTGTGGTGACTTGACCCCCGGACAGTATGTGCAGGAGTCCCAGTCCCATGACCCCAACTGTCAATGTCTCTTGTTACAGGTGATGGTAAGAGAGGGCCCAATTGGGGACGCTCAGGGCCTGTGGTCCATGGAAGAGCTGTTGTTACACATCAATGTGAGGGAACTTCAGCCCCATGCAGTCGGGTTTCAGCTTTCTGCCTTGGCTTTTTAATGCTGGCCCTGCTTGGTGGACCTCATGAAACCTGCCTGTGGTTCCCTAGGGAGCCCCGGACCCCTAGTTGAAAACCACTGCATTACACCATCACCCGACAACCCAGAGACAATGTGGGTTTCAGCCGAGTGGTGTTGCAGTCAGCATGCCAATGAACTCCAAACCTTCCACTGGTGCAACTGCTTGGGAGTCACCTACGTTGGAATGGACATGAGCAAGCACTCGAAGAAACAAAAATAGTTACTAACCTTCCGTAACTACTGTTCATCGAGATGTGTTGCTCGTTACCTCCCCCTCCTGCCTGCCGCTCTGTTGAAGTTAGCTGGCAAGAAGGAACAGAGGGGGCAGTGGGGCCCTATATACCAGTGCTATGAAGGTGTGACTCCAGGGGGCCCCAGAGCTGACCCGACAGATACCACTGAGGGAAATACTTTCCGGTGGCAGTGGTCGGGGCTAGCACACAACTACATTGGAATGGACTTGAGCAATACATCTCAAAAAACAACAGTTACGGAAGGCTAGTAACCTTTTTTTCACATCAACTTGGTGATATCTACTGTTGAAAGTGTAGGTGATCATTTGGAGAATCTTCTGTTGCTGACCTCCATCACCAAATACTGGAACAAAGACAGTACAGCTGAAATCCCAGGCAGATAAAGTGATTGAACATACTGATGCCTTTTTCCAAAAGATAATTCAACAGAGAAGGATGTTTTCAGATTTCATTTTTTTTCTTTGGTAATTTCACATTAAGATAGGGCTTGATGGAACAAGGGGTGGAACTGTGGCCGCATAGTTTTGCTTATGCTCACCTGTCAGGGCATTATTATAAAGAAGCTTGCGAAACCAAATTTTTAACTTGAATGTGCTTACTGTGGAAAAATGAAAACTTAGCGGGGTTTTTGTCTGTATTGACCAAATGTACTCTAGTATTCTTTTAATCTTTTTGCTCCCCTTCTGTCTTTCCAGATACATTAGATCCTCTTTTCATGGATCCAGATTTGTCATGTGGAACCCATACAGGAAGCTGTGGTCATGTAATGCATGCAGCCTGCTGGCAGAAGTAAGAGGATATCTTTGCAATACTCTTTCATATTTTATCTCTGATTGGTGTCTAAAGTTTCTAAGAGTATACCAGCACAACAATACAAAATATTGACGTTCAAATAAGAAGTCAGCCAGTCCAAGTACTCAACCAGAAAAAATCAAAGAAATCTGGTACAAGAGCAGTCTCAAAAACCAACAGGAGGAGCCAAGTCCCCATTGGCCTAAAAAATAGTCTAAGTGGGGTAAAACTGGTCAAGAGCAAGAAGCCAACTCTCATAAATGGGACTTGCATCATGCCCCTAAGTAGCCAACAAGGGACTCTGATAAATCTCCAGGAGAGTTACACAGCACATAATCTTTGACCATGTATGCATGTCACTAGACCAGGCCTGACTACACTTAAGGACCAAAGCAGGCCTGCCCCAGCCAATCATAACTGTCAAGTCAGGACACTGCAATTGCCTCTAGACTGAAATACTTAAGGGCTTGACTATGAAGGGCTTTTTGTCTATCAATGCTTTTATATCACAATGAGTAACATGTTGGTTAGAAAGAGACACAAATAAATATTGACAAAAAGCCTTAGATTGATTGAAGCTGTGAAAAATAAAGTTAGAAATTTCATCACAGTGAGGTATCAGAAAGATGTGAAGAGCTGGATCACCCTATTATAAGTTACTTTGTGATATCACATGATACAGACAAATCTTGGAGGCTTTTTGATTTTTATATTTGTATGTGTCAGTTGGCTATAAATAGTCTAGTTATACTTTCAGTGCTTAACTATTTTTAATGTTTTTATGGTAAATATCAGCATAAAACAAATAAGCACTCTAAAATCGTACAGAAAAATGTTCCTTGAGTATTCTACATGAATGACTTCTATTCTTGGCAGATCCTATCCACATACATCTAAATAGAACAACATTGGAACCCAATTTCCATGCCCTTATTAAGAAAAAGTTAACTTACTCTGTGGAGTCGGGTGGCACCTTAAAGACTAGCAGATTTACTTGGGCATAAGCTTTCATGGGTAAAAAACCCACTTCTTCAGATGTGTCTTCAGATGCCTGGGTTTTTTACCCATGAAAGCTTATGCCCAAATAAATCTGTTAGTCTTTAAGGTGCCACCGGACTCCTTGTTGTTTTTGTTGATACAGACTAACACGGCTACCCGTCTGATACTTACTCTGTGGGTAGATAGGATTAAAAGAAAAGGACAGAAGACTCTTCCCTTATACTAGATTTTGCAGAAGGTTTGAGTATAATCGTTTGCTTATTACATAACTGATATATTAATGTATTAGTTTTACTCAAAAGGATGCCTGCCACTTACATTTTAAAGGAATATATATACAGCAGACAAAATACTGCAAAATACACTTTGTCTAACAGACTATGTTTGGAATGTATGGAATACCTATGGAATTTCCATTTTACGTTTATTGCAACTCTTCTGCTTGTTGTATAATTTGGAAAGATAAAACGTGTTTTGATTTTGTAGAGAGTAGTTTCATAAACATTTTGTATGTTTTTTTCAGATCTTTGTCATCTTTCCTTTGTTAGATTTGCTTGCCTTTTCCTTCATTGTTCTTAATCATCATTTAATTAGAAGATTTTAGTTTAAATTTAGACCTAAAGTTAGACAGACACATCCATATGTAAGCTGCTTGTGTACCTGGTTTTCACATAGGTGCTGATTTTAGATGCTCAACTTTAGGCAAACAGATTTGAAAATTGAGTTCTTTCTGTACTAATGAAGGTATCCAGGCCATCGAGACCATGGGTGAAATCTGCGGGCTTACTGCATATATAGAGAAAATTTACAATGAAACCTGGAAAAGCGCATGCTTATTATACCATCTCCTGTTTTAATAGACTGTCTCAAAGTATTCCCATATATATATATATAGAGAGAGAAAAGTAATCTGCACCCACCCTTTATTGGGAAAACTATCTCAATTAAACAACTGATTTTCTTTCCTTTGACCACATACTTAATGTGGGTTTCAATGTGTTTTTTGTTTTTAAATTTACTTTTACCACAGTTCTGTGTCTATCCAAGGTGAATTTTCTGTAAGGATATCTTTGAAATATAATCTAAATTATCCACTTCCATTTTACTTCATCAAAAACAAGGATATATTTTTATATCTGGTGGTGAGACTGGATCCTTACAACAGATAAGTCACTAATGGACATTCATCCATGAAGTGCTATTAGCTATTGTTAAAATAGCATTTATAGGATATTTATATATTTACCTTTGAATGCTATGGCTTAACTTTAAATTTCTAATCTAGGAATATGTGTCTATGTGTGAGGTGCTTTATGATGTAGCATTAGTTTAAAATGTTGGGGGGGGTAGCAAATTTCAGAATTGCTTGAGTGTAAATATATTAAATAAAATACACACTTATTTGGAGGTTAAAAGTAGGAAAGCTCTCTGCTGTTCTTGTCTGGAAGGTGCTCTGAAATTACCTGGTTCCACATACCTGTTCAAAGATTTAGTTTTGTTTTGGTGTCCAAACATGTGGAACATCTATGTATTAGTTGTGTAGCAGAAGAGGAGTCTGGTTGTTGGCATAGAGAAGTACACACCAGACATACCATTTTGCTCTTTAAATTCTTGTTTCTGTGTTGCACAGAGGCCAGTCTCCTTGCTAGCTGATTTTTCTTTTTAATGTTGCAGGTACTTTGAAGCCATGCAACTGAATTCTCGACAGCGTCTTCATGTTGAACAGATTTTTGACTTAGAGAATGGAGAGTACCTCTGCCCACTCTGCAAGTCTCTGTGCAACACTGTGATTCCCATTATTCCTTTGCAGACTCAAAAGATAAACAGGTGAACTCCAGGGACAGTCTATTTCATGATTCTAAGAATAAAAGTTGTCTAGTGCTTGTAGGGGAGCCAACTCTGATGGAAAGTTTTGAATAATCTTTCCAACTGCTATATGAGGCTGCTTAAATCCTTACTGATCGCCCACCTTGTTGTCTGTTCTGGCTTCCAAAATCTATTCTTGGAAAAAATTTCTAATACCATAGACCACTTAGGTTTCTTACCAATGAGAAAGTATTTCTAGTACTTAATATAAATTCTAAAGTTTAGTTAATGTTTGCTTAGGGTATCTAAATAGTTGTGTAAATGCTAACTCTGAACTTGTTCTTTGCCACAGAGATGTGCTATATGTTTTTCAAAGATTAGGCTTCAGGTCATCTGCTTACCTATGTTTTAACGTAACCACTGGTTTTTATTTCTATTCTCAGTGAGGATTCAGAGGCAGTAGCTCAAATTCTGACCCTGGCTAGGTGGTTGGAGATTGTCATGGCCAGGATATCGGGGTACAGTGCGAAAAACACTAAAGGTTTGTTATCTTCGCTTTTGAGCTTTACGCTAAGATCATTTCCAGAAAAATACCCTTTGAATTTTTCATTATTATAGTAAGAAAATATAAATATTTATTTAGAACAGAAAGTATTCTGTATTCTAGAACAATCAGCTGGTGTTTTAGGTACAGAGATTGCTACTTGATTTTCAGTCGTGTGGTCTCACTATAAGGAAATACATAAAAGAAATGAAAGTATTAGTATACTTTTCCTTTGTGAACTGAGGGTTCAAACACATTGTACGATCTCTTCTCGTCTCTAAAGGCCTCTGTTCCGAAAAATGGTGATCCCTGGAAAAAATTTCAAAAATGCTTAAGTGATATAGCAGCCCAAGGGCTTGTCTACAATTGAAACGTTACAGCTGCACTGCTGCAGATGCGCCGCTATAGCACTTCAGTGTAGACATTACTTACGCTGATAGGAGGGGTTCTCCCATGGGCGTAAGTTGTTCACCTCCCTGAGAGGTGGTAGGTAGCTGGATGGAATTTTTCGGTCAAACTGGCACTGTTCATTGAGGATTAGGTTAGCTTACCTACATAGTTCAGAGGTGTGGATTTTTTTGTACCCCTGAGCGACACAGTCAAGTCAATTTAAATTTTCTGGTATAGACCAGGCCTTAGTCTTACAGGGGATTTAGGCTCCTAAGTCATTCCATACTTTTGAGAAATTTACCCTTAACCTTTAAAAATAGCTCTAAATAAATGAGCAACTACATTAAATCTTTGAACAATTTTCGTAAAGCTGCTGATTACTTTTTAAGGGGAAAAATGTCATTATTCATCCCAAAAAGAAACAGAGATCATTTTCAGTTAATTTTCTAGGCGATCCTAATCTGAGCAACACTTCTGTTGTAGTCTGACTGTGCAACTGTCATGAATAAGTTGTCAGTAATATACAACAAACTATTTTTGGATACATTCATTTCTTATGGATGTACTTTTTCAAAGTACCCTTAAGTCAGTGACCTTTTTTGACACAGCCATATGTCTGCACTAGTTAATTGAAGCGTAAGAAGAGAGCTCCAATAAGGTGCTATTAGCTGTAGTCAAGGCTGCCTCCTAGCTATCTCAAAAACATTCAAGGAGATGATCGTCTAGGTCTTTAAAAGCAGCATTCCAATGAAGGGCGTCTTTGGGTTACTCCTTTGCAGTGTGAGATAAGTATTTTAAAACTGAAACTCACTATGTAAACATACTCAGGTTACATTACTCAGTGGCACACCTATTTACTTCATTGATATTTGGAGTGGCATCTTCATGTGTACTTCCACTTTCTTATGACTGGAAGGACTGCGACTTTCTACACTAAGGTATTCAGTGAATGTGACTGTGCTGAGAAGAACTGTAAGGTGAAACTTGACCTTGTTCTGTTTGAGTAATCACTCAGTCAAAATAAAAGGAGAGGTGCTTTCGCATAGTGCAGCATAGATCTACTTATGCATAGAGCTTCACACTTATTACTCTGTTGCTTTAAATAAGAACATTAACTCATTGGAACTAGAGATCATCACTACCCAAAGCGAAGCAAAAATGTATAATGCCTGTACAGTAACTCTGGAAACTCTGACTCTGGTATCAACAAGTCTTGGTGTCCGGGAGACACCAGGAATCTGCATTGCCCTAGAGTCTTTTGATTTATGTAAAAAGACCTGATACCCCTTAGATGGTACTCTGATCCATGTGCCCACAATGGATATCACCAGCTTTATGATGCCATATGTTTGAGAAGCAAAGTCATAGCCTTTTCTAAGCTGCTGACATTTCCAGGAATTTAATAACTCCTTTCCCTGACCCCCTTGGAAGACCATATAACATGCACTTGGCAGGACCAGCAGGAACATACCCCAAAGACCCTATCAGGCTTTTTTGGATTAAAATATTTTATTGGGAATTCTATGAAAAATGAAGAGGGGAATTTAAAATAAAAGGCCAAAAATAAATCTATCTGTAAATATTGCAGAACGCATCAATATGCTTAGTTATAGACTATTGACACATTCCAGTGACCCATACTTAGCAGGAAAATTCTCTTTGGCTATTTCTCTCACTGTCTCCTTACCAGCCAAGCACTGCTTTTGTGTCCCAAATTTCTGAGAATAGAAGAAAATGCTATTTAGGGAGGAGGATTAGAACACAGATTGGCTGGTGAGAAAGCAGTGGTTTGTTACAATTATTTCAAAAGCAGTTTAAAAGAAAAAGGAAGTCTATGTATATTGACGCAATTGTGTTTTAATATGATCTAATTTTTTTTCCTGGAAGGAGAGACGCAAAATGCTCCATCTTTAATCAACAAAGGAATGGGAGACTTTACTTCAGAATTCCATTCCATCCTTAGTTTTGGAGTTCAGCCTTCGTAAGTGTTGCCAATTGTTTGTATTTTGCTGGAGGAATCTGAAAGTTCTATGTTCTGTGTTTTCTAAAATGATCTAAATTTGTCTCAAGATTTTGGAACTTGCCTTCAATCTTTGAATTGGAAAAAGAGGTGTTTGTGTTCTGGGCACAGACCTGGGAGCCAAGAACTTCCTGACTTGTAGCTGGAGCTTTGCCGCTGATTCCATGTTCACTTAACTACTTTGTGCCTTAGTTTTCTCAGGCATCGTGTTTCTCTGTTTTGTAAGAATTAATGTTTTTAAAGTACTTCATTGATGAAGTTGTTTGTTACAGATTTACTGTGGGGAATGGGATTGGGATGTCTAATATTGTATGGAAAAGAAAATTGTCTGCCCCTTGGGATAGAGAGATTGAATTGACAGATTCTTTGGCTTTGATCTCTCTATGGTATGCCTTGGTCTTTACCCTCCCCTCCAGATACTGCTCCAGCTAACCTGCCCACTGTACTTCTACTGCCCACAGCATGCTGAATAATGTAACAGTTCTTCACCCCTTGTGTTATATCTGCTATCCAAGCTTAGTGTGGTTATACTCTGAAAAATGTAAAAAATTGCATCAATAGTTCCATACTTCTGTTATGTTGTTCCATATCAGAATTGCTTCAAGTACAAATAAAAGCTTTTTTTCCCCAACTGCTGCTGCAGCAAATGCATTCTGGTCAAAAAGCTAAATTGGGTTCTTTGTCAGGCTCAGGCATCATTTTCAGGAAGAAATATTCTATTTGGAACTTAGTTAAACATTCTGATGCTGATGTGTGAGCCAGAATAGAGTCCAGATCATTGTGCCACAGCTGTTAGTTATACTTATACTTACACTTTGAACACACGCAGAGCAGATCTGTTCATTACGATTGTGCTGGTTTTGCATAGTCACTTTTCTGATCAGAGTTGTCCCTTTTAAGGACTAAGCAAGTACTAACTTTAAGGAGCTCCTTTCTTTTAGCAAAATTTCAGAATTATTAAATTTAATTTTAGATTTGAAATTCTGTCCCCCATTGCTAGTCCTTTATGAGAGATGAATGAGAGGAGATATGTTTTCAATGTGACAATTAAGTTTCTCTTTCCCCACAGTGCAAGTTCATTTCCCCAATTTATCACTTTTTGTAATAAATAGTTGTTGGTGCTCTTTTCCTGAATATGGGGTATAGTATGCCATGCATACTGAGGCCTATATTTTCCCAAATTTGCCTTCAGCTTATTAGGTCTCACCCTTCTTGGTTCTCAAACATTTGCTTGTAGAGGTCACTAAATCAATGCATGTGTATACCAAGGAGAAAACTAAAGTGCAAGAATCTGTACTGGTTCTCCATGATGCATTAGGACTTGTTTTATGGATACAGACTCTTCCTTGTTTCTCTTACTGCAGATAAACGGTCTTGGTGTTCAGTAGTTCTTTCACAGGGAACCATTTATCTTCTTATTAATGACCTTGTTAGCTAGCCATTGACCTTTAAGTTGCAAACACTGTTACTAGTTCATCAACTGAAGTTGTCCTTGCTTTCCTTCACAGAGCCAAATACTCAAACAGTATTAAGGAGATGCTGGTTCTCTTTGCCACCACTGTTTACAGAGTTGGATTAAAAGTTGCTCCCAATGAGGCTGATCCTCGCATTCCTATGATGACGTGGAGCACATGTGCTTTTACTATCCAATGTATAGGTAAAGTTTTAGTTTTGAATAAGGGTTTATTCAAATGTGAGAGCTGGAGTGCCAGTCATGATAAATGTCTAAGGTGATCTGCCAGAGTACAATCTCACCTGCAACTCTGTGTATGTACACAGGTGGCTAGCCTGTGCCATCCCCCATGCTGCTACAGCTACACTGCTATTTTTCACAACGAGCTCAATCAAAGCTAGATCAGATATTGCATGCACATGCTACAGTTGTGCCTTGTGACTGCTGTGTAGACATACACTGTGACAGCTGTCCAACAGGGTTCATTAAGCTGGATAGTCTCTTGTCCTCTTTAGCAAAATATGTTAGAATTAAAAATGAGGTTGAGTGCTCTTCACCTCGATTTTGCCTAAACGAAGAATTTCATGATGGTTGCCTTTATAATTAAAGAAATTGTGGGGATGACAGAGATGCCTAATTGAATTGAAACAACGGGAAAATCCTGAGGACTCTTCATTGGACCAATTTTTGAGTTAGGTTGCAAAAAATGCCCCTTAATCATCCCTGAATGAATTGTATGGTATTTTTCATTACTTCCTCAGTATTAGTCCCAGTGGAACTTTCTTAGGGTACGTCTACACTACCCGCCGGATTGGCGGGTAGCAATCGATCTATCGGGGATCGATTTATCGCGTGTAGTGTAGATGCGATAAATTGATCCCCGATCGCTCTCCTGTCGACTGCTGAACTCCAGCTCGGCAAGAGGCGGAAGCAAAGTCAAAGGGGGAGCCGCAGCCGTCGAGCCCGCGCCGCGAGGACGCGAAGTAAGTGATTCTAAGTCGATCTAAGATACGTCGACTTCAGCTACACTATTCTCGTAGCTGAAGTTGCATATCTTAGATCGATTCCCCCCTCAGTGTAGACCAGGCCTCAGAATTGGTAGAGGCAGTGTGGACTTGCCTTGACTTTCCTTGAAACTGCTCTCTGGCAAAGATGCTAAGAGGGTGCCTTGTAGCAATTTAAAAAATGATTTCTAGTTTCTCCCCAGAGGAAGGTCTGTTTTTACAAAGATGAAATAATCTGTACCTGTAAAAAGCATTGCTTGGCTAATGTATTTGTTGTTCAGCTTTCAGCCTCACTTCATCTGTTAGCACTGTTTGCATAGCTATAATCACTCGTAAACACATTTAGTTGGATGTGCCATTTTGCCTCAACATAGCTGGTAAGATGCAAATTCAGTCCACTATAAATATATAGTGGACTTGATCCACCTGGAGCAACAGCATTTCAAATGTGGAGCACTGGGAGCCCCGCAACTGGGTTAGAATTAACGTGCCGCCTTAACTACTGTGCATGTTGCATTCAGCTGATCTCCAAAATAGGATAGTGGGCTGACACACTCCATATAGGAGGAAGCATGTTACTTGTCAATAGAGAAATAAAGTGAAGTGATAGTTATTCACAGGTGTTAGCGGTAGAACAGGCTATGGGGTAAAGTAAGAAAATCAGATGTATGATCAGGCAAAGCAGATATAAATTTGTACAACCTTTCTGAAAGCTCTCTCTTCCTTCTCATAAATCTTTGAAGATCAAGTATCAGAGGAGTAGCCGTGTTAGTCTGGATCTGTGAAAAGCGACAGTGTCTCCTGTGGCACTCTTTGTCGTGCTGAAGATCAGTATGTGTGGGAACATCCAGCAGTAAAACACAGGGAAACTACTGCAGGCCTCCATGCAGTTGTAAAATAAAATTGTCTACTTGGTTTCTTGGGACACATGCTATTTTTGAACCTAGTCATAACATGCATTTTCAATGAGTGGTTGCACACATGTATTCCACGCAGGTATGTGCACGCTGGAGCCAGAGAATTTTCTGCAGATATGTGTCAGCCACACATGTGCCCTGCACATACTTGTGGCCCCTCCAAAGGCTATATAAGAGTGGCACCACCCTGAATCCCCTCAGTTCCTTCTCATCACCTGTAACCAGAGCTAGAGCTCCCCATATGGTTTTTAATTCTGCATAGTCAGCAAGATTAGCTCACTACTTTACCTGTAAATAGTTAGTCAGCAGTTAGTACCCAGTAGTTAGATTTCATCTTTATTTTATTTAAAGTTATTTTAATAGTTATCTTTTGGTGCAAGGCACTGGTGGCATGTAGTGCTTGCTGGGTCTTTAAGCATTGCCCATCATGTGAAATGTCTATCTTGAATAGTGACTCCCAAGACACACACACACACTGCCTTTTGTGCCTCAGCATTGGACACATGAAGGAGAGGTGCATCTGCTATTCTTTGAAGAAAAGAATGCAGATTTCCAGAGATTTGTGCCTCAAATCCCATCTTATGAAGCAGGTGATGAGACCTGCTTTGGTCCCAGGGCCCTCGAGTGAATGTCCTACTGCACACATACAGTCCATTACCATGGCTGCAGTGGCCTCGGACAGACCCCTGGACTCGGACTCTTCTCTCCAGGGAAAGAGGAGTCAGTCTTCTCCATGACCTCCCCAAAAGAGGACCCATAAGACAGACTGGAGCCACTCAAAGGTTGGTTTGTTTGTTTGTTTGTTTGTTTAAAAGGCTCCTCCTCTTCAGAAAAGGACTTGGAACATCATTGAGGGTCTTCGGGTACTCAGGCTGGCTTATCAGCCTATATCTCTTCAGTACTATGGCAGGAAGCTATTGATAGCATCCTGATGACTCTGTTACCATGTGCTGGTAGATAACCACTGAGTCCAGTACCAATGGGGACACAGTTTCAGCTCCGATATTATTGGTACCAGTGTCCCCGCAAGTTTATGAAGCAGTAAAAGACTTGCTCTGCCTCCCCATCCTGGACTCTCCTGTGGTGCAGGAGTCCACTGCACTGGCAGCACCTTCTGCTGTCCCAGGCCCATCTGGCTCCTCCGCTCCAGTGCAAGCAGAGCCAGTGTTAGTGTTAGCTAAGAAATATGGCAAACACTTTTCCCTGGTACCATCTTTGGCATTGGCACCAGTACAGTCTTTGACCTCGGTATCAGTTATGCTACCTGGCTTGGCGTCTGTGGCTTGATGCTGGATGTTCAGCTGAGTTGATACCGATTATAGCCTGTGCTTCGGTTCTGATTATAACATCTTTCCCAGCACCAATTTATGGCGCCTCAACACCTCAGGATGCTTTTGCAGTACCATCTACCTTTCCTGCCTCCGTACTGAGGTTGCCTCTTCACAATGGGCTATAGATAGTCACCTCATCAGGCTTTGCACCTCCCGATGCCCACTGGATACCCTGGCTCCTTGAAGTCTGTTTCAGAGTTCTCCAGTATTTTGCCAACCCCTCTGAGGTGCACTTGGTCACCTCCTGAAGGAGAGCATCGGTACCCAACACCGGGAGTGGGGCCGATCATTGTGGCCTGGTACCTACTGGACATCTATGACATGTGCTCTCCCTCAGTGGCCTTTTTGGAATTGCTGGGGTGTTTTGCAATCCCACAGATCTCAATCACCTGCCCAATTGAGAGGAAGGTTCCCAGAGAGTTTGATAGAGCAGGTTCCAGAACCACCTAAGTTAGAAGCATGCAGAGACACCGTTCCCTCTGAGCAGCCAATGCTGCAGGAGGAACCACTGGAGGAGCAGCCAGTTCTTCTACAAGAGGATCCATCCTATCTTTCTCATCACCTGATGACTCAGTGATCCCGGACTCCAGTTCCTAGGAATTTTTAAGCATTATCAAGAACTGCTGAGAAAAATGGCAGTGACTTTAGGCACTCAAGGTGAGTTTGTGCAAGAGAACATTCATAAGGTTTTTGGATAGTCTCCAGGTGGCACTTCTGGGAGGATAGTCCTCCCAAATTATGAAGCTCTTCTAAACCTTATGGCATACACCAGCCTCCTTAGCTATATACACTAGGATATGGTATCATTTATCCATGCAAGGCTTTGAGTATTTTTATTCCCATCCAGCCCTAAACTCCCCGATAGTTACATCTGCCAATTGGAGATCATGTCAAGGGAGATGTAAATTAATTCCCCCCAAAAAAGAGACCAAGAGAATAGATTTGTTTGGGAGAAACATTTATTCCACCTCCTCTCGCCAGATGCAGATAGCAAAATATAACTTTCTAAACTGGGACATAATGTCCAAGTTTACTGACAGACTACCAGAAGATGCAAAGGAGGAATATAAGGCTTTTCAGGCAAAAGGTTGTATAGTGACCTAGACATTGATCCAGTCTGCACTTGATGCAGCAGACACTTCTAGAGCAGTGGTTTTCAACCTTTTTTCATTTGCAGACTCCTAAAAAATTTCAAATGAAAATGCAGACCCCTTTGGAAATCTTAGACACAGTCTGCGGATCGCCCGGGGTCAGTGGATCGCAGGTTGAAAACCACTGTTTTAGAGTGATGGCCTCTTCAGTAATACTGAGGACAGTCTCATGGGTACAAAACTTGGGCATAGCCTTGGACAGTGTCTCATTTCTCTTGTTGGATTTAGTGTGCACCTCCTGAGTGGTTTTGGGGACCTGTGTTATACGTGAGGTCAGACTAGATGATCTGGTGGTCTTTTCTGGCCATTAACTCTGACTGACCTCCAGCAAACCATAGAGCAGTGGTTCTCAAACCAGGGGTACATGGACCCCTCGGGGTATGCAGAGGTCTTCCAGGGGGTACATCAACTCATCTAGCTAGTTGCCTAGTTTTACAACAGGCTACATAAAAAGCACTAGCAAAGTCAGTACAAACTAAAATTTCATACAGACAATGACTAGTGTATACTGCTCTATATACTATACACTGAAATGTAAGTACAATATTTATACTAAAATTCATATATTTTATAATTATATGGCAAAAATGAGAAAGTAAGCAATTTTTTCAGTAATAGTATGCTGTGACACTTCTGTGTTTTTTATCTCTGATTTTGTAAGCAAGTAGTTTTTAAGGGCAGTGAAACTTGTGGGTACGCAAGACAAATCAGACTTTTGAAAAGGGTAAAGTAGTCTGGAAAGCTTGAGAACCACTGCCATAGAGGACCTCCCATTTGATGATAGGTTCTTGTTTTCAGATA